CTGCGACAGCCAGCAGGATAGTCAGCAGCCTCCACGCGCCAGCAGCCATCGCCTCTTTAGACCTAACGGGACCGCTCGTTCCCGGCTGCCCAGCCCGAAGACCCACCCCCAGCCAGGCCACGCCCCCATCTAAACCACGCCCCAAGCCTGGTGGCGCATGCCCAGAAGGCTTCCACCTCCTCCAGCTTTCCAACGAGCTGGACCCCGCCCCTCAGCGGAACCCTGAACGCCACCCGAGCTCCGCCTCGGAACGCAGCACCCTCAGCCCGCCGCCCAATGGCCAAGGAGCGTGGAAGCTCCGCCCACGAGTCTTTATGCGCCTGCTCTTCCGGCTCTCGCAGACTTGCTGCAGGGGTGTACTGATTGGGTAAGGTGCAGTCATGGAGGGCGCTGTCGCACCTGAGCAGACCGAGGGGGTCGAGGAAAGTCGCGGAGTGCAGGTGGTGGCGGAGCCAGGAGGTACGCGGGGCGAGAGCCTGCCGGGGGAAGGAGGCCCTGGCGGGGCAGCTAGACTCCGGAGCTCCCGGGAGGCCGAGGACGGTCGCTCACGGCCTGTGTTCCTGGGTGTGTGTCGCAGGAGCCCTGGTGGAGCTCACCCCGACCCCCGGCGGACTGGCCCTGGTGAGCCCCTACCACACCCACCGGGCCGGGGACCCCTTAGACCTCGTGGCGCTCGCAGAGCAGGTGCAGAAGGTGAGGAGGCACAGCCGGGCCGTGACTGTTCACGTTTGACCTGAGTCTTTCGCTTGACCATCACCGTCCCTTGGTGTGGGGTAGCATTTGTTCTTGTCTCCCTTTTACAGATGAGGAAAACCGACTGTCACTGAGTTGGCCTGATTCAAACTCTGATCTTCTGACACCAAAGAGTCCTTCAGCTGCAACTTGAGTGTCCATCCTCTCCCTGTAGGAAGGTTTGCACAGCACTTTCAATATTCATTGTCCCATTTGTACCTTCCAGTGCCCTGTAGGTAGGCAGTACAGACGTTATTCTTCTAATTAGAAACACTGAGAAAGTTTTCAGGGAAGTTTCAAGAATCTTCTTCCTCAAACTCTTTAGGGATGCAAAATACACTTATTTTAAGCTGCTTTCCCTAAGATCTTTGTTACCTAAGAGTTGTAGAACTCAACATGATCTAGGAGGGCAAGTTTTGTCTTACACTGCAGTTCACTAGGCACGATATTCCCAAGTCCAGTGCCTAGACACTGATTGCCAAAATAAATCAAATGAGGGGATACACATAACAGAAAGCATTGGAAGTTGGGACACATGAATATTTTTCTTTTTTAGAATTATTTATTTATTATTTAAAAATTTGCTGTAGGCTTGCGTGTTCACCAGAGAGAGACAGAGAAGGGGTGAGAGAGAGTGAGAGGGAAAGTGAGAAAGCAAACTTCAGATCTGACACTCCAACCACAGTCAGCCATATGAGAGTCTAGTACCTTAACCACCTGGCCACCTGCTGGCCCATAAATAAATCTTTTTTTTTTTTTTTCTTTTTTTGGAGAGGTTTTTGCTATAGGGCACGTTGCCAGAAAGACACAGAGAGAGAAAGACAGAAAGCGAGAAATCACCCCCTGGGGGGAGGTTGGCCATGCCGTAATCTCTTCTTCTCCATTCTCCTCTCTTGGGTGTGCACGCACACGCACCCGGCGTGAGTTTAAGTCACCAGGTCCAGAATTTGAACTACGGTCAACCACATGGAAGTCCAGCGACATAGCCATTATGCTAACTGCTGGTCCCAATAAATCTTAATCCCCACTTTTAGTATTAACTTGCAGTGCAACTTCACGCAGATTACATCTCTCTGGACGTCAACTTCTTTATTTGTAAAATGAGTTTGAAGTAGAAGAGTTCAGAGATCTAAAGCTCTGACATTACTCAGTGCAAGATCAAGTGCTGCACACCTGGTGTAGTCATACTGCGATCCTTTGAACATGTGCACACATGTGCCTGGCATGTTCATCAAGCTACTGGGGCTGGGATTCATACTGCAGTTGGCCATATCGGATCCTCTCTCCACAGAGCACTTAACCACTGTGCTATCAGGCTGGTCCTCTACTGTTTTGTTTTCACAGAGAGACCTCCAGTAGGGCCTTCATACCAAGATCTACACTCCCCCCCTCAGCCAGCTTGAATCAGTCCCCTCTCTTACCCATACTGCCCCCCTCCATACTCAGGGAGGCCTTGGGACTACAACCTGAAAATGTTTCCCATGTGAGTCTGGTTGAGTTACCACGGTACCACCTCTTGGTCTCGATCTCTCTCCCTCTCTCCTCCTTTTAATTAAGAAAAAGTCAAATAAGAGTCAGCAGATGTGGTGTGGTTAAGGTGCTGGATTCCCATATGGCCAACTGTGGTCTGAGTCCCAGACCTGGTGACTTGAAAATTGCTCCAGGTGCATGTGTGTGCATGTCCAAAATCTTGAGAGGAGACTGGAGGAGAAGAGATTTCAGTGTGGCCATCCCGCTAGGAGGTGTTTTCTTACTTTCCCTTTCACTGTCTCTCTCCAGCGAGCATAGGCACCCTATGGCAAAAAATCTTAAAAAATCTTAAAAAAAAAGTCTGCTTAGGAAAGCTTTAATTCAAATGTTGTACTCTCTCTTTTTAGAGAAGTGGGAGCAAAGTACGACTTTCATGTGTCTATTTAATCAGATCACTCTGGTTGGAGGGAGGCTGCCAGGGTCAAAATCTTGGCCAGACAGCATGTCCACGTGTTGCTGTGTGACCATCATGTTTATTACAGTGACCAGAACTGAAGAAAGAGGGAACACAATTTTTACTTTTCACCCTATAATCTAGTGAAACAGGATGCTTTATTGTGCTGCCTCGCTTCTCAGTATAATCAGTCTTCGTGAAGCTCAAGAAGAAACACTCCAGGGACAAATGAAATCAAACATATCCACTGTCTGTGTAATGCAAGCTCCTTTCTAGCAGGACTGATTGCTGACACCCTGTATGTTAGTGTATGTTTGGAAGCTTGGGAGGCTTAGCACTAGGTGTGGAGTTTGGAGTCAGATCAGTTTGTGTTCCTGTTCTTCAACTATCATTTACTAACTGAGACCTTAGACAAGTTGTCTCACTTCAGGGTCAATATAAAATCTTGAAAGCAAGGTTATCATCTCAAACTCTATTGAGTTGTTGTGAGAATTAAATGTGATAATAAATTAGAAGGCCTTAGTGTGATTGGGCCATGCTAGTGCTTAGTAATTGTAGGTACCATTCCTTTCATTTCAGGTTTGTTTTTTCCCCTTAAAGAATGATTTATTTATTTCGTTATTATTTCTTTTCTAATTTGACCAGAGAAAATGAGAGAGAAAAGGAATGTGAGAAAGCAAACCAACAGGTCTGGGACTTGAACTATGGTCAGTCATGTGGGTGTCCAATGCCTTAACCACCATGGCCACCTGCCAGCCCCTCATTTTGGTTTTAATTAGGCTCTTATGTTTACAAGGAGCAGATTGACTACAACCACTTGAAGAAAAGGGAGATTTATGATAAGGCCACCCCTAACCTAACCTAGGCTCTGCCAACCACCTGTCCTCTTGTGGCTCCTCTGTCCTTGAAACAAATGCAAAAGCTCCTACGTGCACTCAAGGCATTGCATGATCCGTCACTGCCGCCACCCCCACCAGTGTACTTTTTCAGAGAGAGTACGTGTGTATGCCCACCCCATAGGATCTTGATGCTTTGGTTCACCCCCAGCTTCAGCCAACCTTGAATCATGGGCATGTGCCTGCTCAGTGTACTCAGAGAGTGCTCTGGATATGAACCCAGATTCTTCCCACATGGGTCAGCCTCAAGAGCAGTATGTTTTATCGATGCACGACTGTCCAGTCCCTCTGCCCTCCTTTCTAATGTCATCATTCTGCACATCCCCCCTTACTGCTGGCCTGAGAAATACCTGGAAGCTTTTCTTTGGATTTTACCATAGGGCACATGCATTTGCAGAAGACAGAGACACAAAACGAGAAATCACCCCCCTCCCCCGCCCCGGGGAGGGTATATTTATAAAAGAAATGTACTTACCACAGAAAAATGTAAAAGAAACTTTAAAAAACACCCAAAAACAACCATCCCCAGGAGGATGGCCACACTGCAATCCCTTTTCTTCCGTTCTCCTCTTGGGATTTTGGGCATGCATGCTCACACACCTAAGGTGAGTTTGAAGCCACCGGGTCTGAGACTCAGACTGCAGGCAGCCATGTGAGAATCCAGCACCTTAACCACTACTCTACCTGCTGGTTTCACCTGGAAGCTTTACTACAGATTTGTGCATGGCTGGCCCTTTTATTTAGACCCAAGGCAAATGTCACATCATCAAGGAGGCCTTCTGAATGATAGTATTAGAAGTTGAACTTGAGGGACCAGCAGGTGGCGTCATGGTTAAGGCGCTGGATACTCCCACATGGCTGACCACAGTTTGAGTCCTGGACCTGGTGGCTTGCTTTCTCACTTTCTCTCTTTGTCTCTCTGGTCAAATGAAAATAATAAATGAGTGAATAAATAAAATTGAATAAATAATTCTTAAAAAATGTTTAAAAAGGGGGACCAGCAGTTAGCGTAATGACTATGTCACTGAACTCCCATGTAGCTGACCACATCTCAAGTCCCAGACCCGGTGGCTTAATCTCATGCTGGGCGCGTGTACATGCATGCCCAAGATCCCAAGAGGAGAATGAATGAGAAGGGATTGAGGCATGGCCATCCCCCCGGGGGGTGATTTCTCACTTCCCATCGCTCTGTCTCTCTTTCTGGAGAGCGCACGTGCCCTATAGCAAAAACCTCTCCAAAAAAATTTTTTTAAAAAGGTGCGTAATTAATTTTTAAAAATTTGACATTCAAATGTAGTATACATATGCTGGTTAATTTCCTTATGAACCTCAAAAGACGAATTTGAAAAAAAATGAAATTACATTATCAGGTTCTGTTAAATTGTTACATGTATCTTGTTTAAATTTCATTTTTGGGGGGGGCTTGGGAAAAAGTTTTTGCTATAAGGCACTCACCAGAAAGACAGAGACAGAGAGACAGAAAGTGAGAAATTAACTCCTAGGGGGCATAGCCATGCCACAGTCCTTTCTCCTCTGTTCTCCTCTCAGGCTCTTGGGCATGCATGCACATGCACCCGGCGTGAGTTAAAGCCAGTGGGTCCGGGACTCAAACCACAGTTGATTATGTGCAAGTCCAGCAACATAGCCATTATGCCAGCTGCTGGTCCCTGCTTATTTTATCTTATATATTATTATTACTTATTTTTTAATTTGACCAAAGAGAGAGAAAGGGAAAGTGAGAAAGCAAGCTGCCATGTCCTGAACTTGAATTACAGTAGACCATGTGAGAGTCCAGCACCTTTACCACCACAACAGCTGCTGAATCCATGACCGAGACTGCAGTTGGCCATGTGGAATCCAGCCCCTTAACCACCAGGCTGGCCTCATCCTTCCTCAACCCAAAGTTTGGTTTTCTCTCACCTGCAGGCTGATGAATTCATCCGAGCAAATGCCACCAACAAGCTGACTGTCATAGCTGAGCAAATCCAGCATTTGCAAGAACAAGCCAGGAAGGTAAGGAATGACTTTGGACACACTTTCATTTTCTTCCTTTAATTCACAGGCTTAGTGTTTATAATTGTTGTCACTGGGACCAGCACATGGCTTAATGGTTATGTTGCTGGACTCTCATGTAGTTGACCACAGCTCGAGTCCCAGATCTGGTAGATTAAAACTCATGCCAGGTGTGTGTGTGTGTGCAAAAAATTCTAAGAGGAGAATGGAGGAGAAGGGATTGCAGCGTGGCCATTCCCCCAGGGGGTGATATCTCACTTTCTGTCTGTCTTTCTCTCCAGTGAGTGCACATGCCCCATAGCAAAAGAAATCTCTAAAAAAAGAAAAAAGTCGTTGTAACTTACTTACCTTTAGTATTATACCGCCTAGAAATGAAGGGGTGTTGAGTAAATTAGAAGGAGTAAGTCTAAGAAGTTAAGTATACATTGAAAAACAAAACAAAACAAAAAACAGGGGAAAGTTTAATGAGATAAAGCACTTGAGGGGAAATACATATTTATAAAAGAAATGTACTTACCACAGAAAAATGAGAAAGAAAATTAAAAACCTCACAAAGCCAATACTACTCAACATTTTGAAATACAATTCTTGTAAAGCCTTTTTTTTGGGGGGGGGTGAGGGGCTGTAGGGCGTATGAGCTTACCAGAAAGACAGAGACAGACAGACAAAAAGTGAGAGATCATCCTCCAGCGGGGGATGGCCATGTCACAATCCTTTCTCCTTCACTCTCCTCTCAGGATCTTGGGCGTGCACGCATATGCACCTGGTGTGAGTTTAAGCCACCAGGTCTGGGACTTGAACCACGGTCAACTACATGGGAGTCCAGCGACATAGCCATTACACCATCTGCTGGTCTCTAAAGGCATTTTTATAACATAATAGCATAGTTTAATTTTTGTTTCTTCAGAATCATCTAGATTCCAGTAGTGATTCATTATTCTGTGGGCCACAAGATTCTAAGCACTGAACAATTTCCTATTTATTTATTTATTTATTTTTAAAGGTTTTGGCCATAGGGCATATGCACTTGCCAGAGAGAGACAGAAAGAAGAGAAATGAGAAATCACCCCTGGGCATTCTGCATCCCCTTCTCCTCTGCTCTTCTCTCAGAATTCTGGTCACATATGCATGTGTGCCTGGAGTGATTTCCTTTCTTTCTCTCTCTTTTTCTTTTTAGAATTATTTATTATTACTATTATTAATTTTTTTTTTTTTTTTTTTGAGAGAGCGAGATTTTTGCTATAGGGCACCTGCACTCTCTGGAGAGACAGAGGGACAGAAAGTGAAAAATCATCCTCTGGTGGGAGGGCCACACCACAGTCCCTTCTCTTCCATTCTCTTGGAATCTTGGGCATACATGCACGTATGCCGGGTGTGTTTTAAGTCACCAGGTCCAGGACTTGAATGGCGGTCAGCTATGTAACTGCTACACCATGTGCTGGTCCCATATTAGTATTATTTTTTAATTTGATCAGAGAGAGACAGCGAGAAGGAAAGTAACAAATCAAGCCATCAGGTCCAGGACTCGAACTGCAGTCAGCCATGTGGAAGTCCAGCGCCCTACTACCACACCACCTGCTTGCCCTAGAGGGATGTTAAAGCCACCAGGTCTGATACTAGAACTGCAGTCAGCCACGTGGGAATCTAGCACCTTAACTACCACATTACCAGCTGGCCCCCTCCAATTAAAACAATTTTTTTTTAGTCATGATAGCGTAGGCACACACAAGGGTGGCTGTACAGTTGACAGGGTCTCCTCATCCACGGTCCCCTTCCTACAGTCCTCCTCATCAAGATTGCTTCCTGTGTTTTCAGGCCAACCCAAGGGTCTGGACCAGAGGTTGGCCATGTAGTTTCCAAAATTTGCTTGGAACGTTCACTAAATATAAGTGCCTATTTCTTCTGATACCTAATTTGTTGCATCTGTGTGGTTCATAGGTACTGGAGGAGGCTCATAGAGATGCCAACTTGCACCACGTGGCTTGTAATATGGTGAAAAAACCTGGCAACATTTACTACCTTTATAAGCGGGAGAGTGGCCAGCAATACTTTTCCATTATTTCTCCAAAGGTGAAAACTTTTATCCTTTGCCGTCGCCTTTAAGGAATTCTTGGCATGTATGTGTGAAAATGTAGGTCTGCAGGTGATAAATGGTGTCCTGGAAAACGGGAGTGTGTGAGCCCAGACATGACTGTCAGTCACGTGCTCCAGGTTTTTCACTCATTGTCTCTGTCAAGGGGGGATCTGGTGTGTAATATAACTGCTTTCCCAGAATGGTTCTGACTAGTCTCAACTGAAAAGCCAAAAACATTAGCAGCCTAAGTAGGAAATGAGTTTGTTTACCTCTGCCCTGCTCAGAGCCAACTCCTTTGCCTTCTCTAGGAGTGGGGGACGAGTTGCCCGCATGACTTTCTTGGCGCCTACAAGCTACAACATGACTTGTCCTGGACTCCATACGAGGACATTGAGAAGCAAGATGCTACAATCAGTCTCATGGGCAAGTTGCTGAGCCAGTCGGTGGCCCTGCCTCCATGCACCGAGCCCAACTTCCAAGGACTGACTCAGTGAGAGTCCTCTCTTGACAGAACAGCTCTCAGGACAAGGACTCGGCCGTCACCTCCCTGTTGCCCCCATTCTGTGCTTTGAGGGGAGGTGTTTTGAGAATTGAGAGCATGTGGTGAGTCATGAACTTCTTGGAAGGAAACGCTGTGAATGTAAATGTTGTCGTTATTACTTTTAGGTGGGGTGACAATGAATTGCATCATTCTCTTTGAGACCCTCTGTAGGCCACAGATACCCACCAGAGTATTGACCAGTGGGTCTTCCTTTTTCTCTGTCTTCCCTCAAGTCAGAGCAGGAGAGAAAGAAGAGTTCTATCTTCCTACAAAAAGGCCGGCACAGAGAACTGTCCCAGTCTGTTCACAGCTACCATCACTTACGGCTGGGGCTGAGGTTTTACCGCAGTTGGTCAAATCCAGCTTCAATAACGTCTGGGAACAAGGATGTTGGGTAATGGAGGGTGATACTTTAAGAAGAAAAAACTTATCTCTCGATCATTAAAAAAATAAAACCCAAATGGTGTGGCTGGACTAGAGGGTGTGATTGTGGAATTTCTGTACTGTTGGTAGGGTTTGGCTTGCCCCTTTGTTGTTTTCACTTTGTTAGAATGACTGGAGAATCTGAGGCAGCAGCTTAGGCCAGGGTTGGGAAGGTCATCCTCTAACCTTCTCGGAAGGAATGAATTTTTTAAAATTGTCAATGAGCTATGTGTGCATCAGAGAAAGAGTGAGTGAGAGAAAAAGGACCCACCCAGTGAGGTGTGATCATGCTGTAATCTCTTTTCCTCCATTTTGAGCTATGTAAAATAATGTATTGCCCAACAGGTAGCATCTTAGACTTGAAAAAGCTTGATTTTTTTTTTTTTTGAGAGGTTTTTGCTATAGGGTGCATGCCCTCGCCAGACAGACAGAGAGAGACATAGAGACAGAAAACGAGAAATCACCTCCCAGAGGGGATGGTCACGCCGTAATCCTTTCTCCATTCTCCTCTCAGGATCTTGGGCATGCACGCACACGCGCCCGGCGTGAATTTTAAGCCACTGGGTCCGGGACGCGAACTGCGGTCGACTACATGGAAGTCCAGCGACATAGCCATTACGCTAACTGCTGGTTCCAAAGCTTGATATTTTGAAAGTATAGTAGATTACCATTTGTTAACTAATAAAGTATGGGGTGGAGATGAGTAAGGGGAAAGAATCTTAAGATCATGCTTGAAGGGAACAGCAGTTGGCATAGCAAGCGGTTACGTCTCTGGACTCCCATGTGACTGATTGTGGCTTGAGTCCTAGACCTGGTGCCTTCAGAATCACACTGGATGCGTGTGTGCATGCCCAAGATCGCGAGAGGAGAGTGAAAGAGAAGGGATTGCAGTGTGGCCATCCCCCCTACTTTCTCTCTCATTGCGACTGACTATCTCTCTCTAACAAGCGCACGCACCCTAAGGCAAAAAAAAAAAAAAACTTAAAATTTCTGGCTTAACATGGATGGTGGGGATCCACTGAACAGAATTGAGATACTTTCCAGAATAATTAGTGCTCCGTGTTTGCTTCAGTAGTTCAGGTTCTCACCTCCAGATTCAGTGGGGGTGAGAGACAGTTGACTGTAGCTTCTTTTCTCCACACGAGGGGCCCGGAAGGAGAAAAGGAGAACTTGTGTCCTTACCTTCAGTCAGTCCACAGACTTTGGGAGGTTTAGTGTTGTAGACACAAAGCCGGTAAATGCTGTTTGGTGAGCTTTTATTCTGCCAGGCACATTCATTACCTCATTCAATCTCCACATAACCCATCTTCTCTGGGCTACATGGTAGTCCTGTTTTACGGAGTAGGCCATCTGCTCAAAGGTTCAGAAACGTCCATGGGTACATAGAAGGTGGTAGAGGTTGAATTCAAGCACAGTCCCATTGACCATAACCTTGATCACGTTTTGGCCAGTTAGGACCGTCTTAGGGGATCACAATACGGAGCTGTAAAGAAGTCAGATTACTGCAGTAATAGAGTAGAATGGGTATACCAAATGTATAGGGAGAGTTGAGGGTTTAGAGATAGGCATGCAGAGGGTGTAGACTGAGGCTCTGAGAAGTAACTTGTCTAAGTTCATATGACTCCTAAGCAATGGAGCCTGAGTCTCCAGCATCAAAGCCCCTGTGCAAAAGAGGCATTTATTATTATTATTACTAGAATTATTTATTTAACTTTATTTATTTATTTATTTAGAGGGACAGAGAGAGAGAGAGAGAGAGGAGAGAGGGAAAATGAGAAAGCAAGCTGCCAGGTCCAGGACTTGAACCACGGTTGGCCATGTAAGAGTTCAGTGCCCTTAACCACCACACTACCTGCTGGCCCCAAGATGCATTTATTCTTTGCGGAGCTATAGAGTTTGAAGGAAGGAACTACTAAGTGCTGGAGAAAATAGATCTGAAGTATCAGCATTGATTCAGTGACTACTCCCTACTTGAAAGCTTTTTCTTCGTTTTGATTTGGAGTATTAGCTCATTTTTCACCGTCTTCACTGACTACCTTTCTGCCTTCTGACCTTCCTCTTCCTGACACTTACACTCTGGCCACGCCCTTGGCCCTCTCTCTCTCTCTCAGCTGGGAGAGTAATCCATTCCCAAGGCTTCACATACTGTCTATATGCTGCTCACTCATAGCCGTGTCTCCATCCCAGATCTATCCCCGTGTTTCCTGCACATATCTTTGTCTAAGTCTTACTTGACATCTCTGGAATATAATAATCATAGTAATTACAGATTTAATGGTTACATCACTGGATTCCCATGTAGTCAACTGCAGTTCAAGTCGCGGACCTGGAGGCTGAAACCTCATGCCAGTGCATGTGCATGTGTGCCCAAGATCCTGAGAGGAGAATGGAGGACAAGGGATTGACATGTGGCCATCCCCCCGGGGGGAGGGTTGATTTCTCGCTTTCTGTTTCTCTCTCTCTCCGGCGAGTGCACGTACCCTGTAACAAGAATCATTTTCAAAATAAAACAGGTTTAGTGGGTACAAAACTAAATTTTGAGTTTAGTTGCACTAAAGCCTGTGCACTCTCAGTCCTCTGTTTCCATCAGTGCCTGTCACACTGCTGTTAAGGCCAGAAACCCAAGTCATCCTTGATTCCATTCGTTCTCCCCACTCGAATCAGCACGTCTTAGCCTTCGAAATACATCCCACATCCTGGTGCTGCCCACCCCCCCACAGCCCCCTCCCACATCCCAGCCCCACTTGGTCCAAGCCACTAAAGTCTTAGACTGGACGCCTGCAGAGCTGTCCAGCTTGCCTCCCTGCGTCCATCCCAGCCTCCACAGAGACTATCAACATCTTCTAAAACTGTAAGTCAGATTACAACACCTCTATTAAAAACACCCCAGGTCAGGTGGTGGTGTGGTGAAGGCAGCTGGACCCCACATGGCTGACTGTGTGGTTGGAGTCCCAGACACAGTGGCTTGAAAAACATGCCAGGAACGTGTGTGTGCCCACAATCCCAAAGGGAGGGCGAAATGGAGAAGGGATTTCAGTGTCACCATCCCCCATGGAGGTGCTTTCTCATTTCTCACTCTTACTCTCTCCTTCTGGCACATGCACACATCCAATGGCAAATTAGGGGAAAAAAAAGAAACCCCAAGACTTTCTCATTACACTTAGAATAAAATCCAAGCTTCTTGCCAAGAAGCTTGACCTGCCACTCTCAGTATGCACATATTCCAGCTGTTCTTCCCACCCACCAAGCCCATTCTCACTCCAAGGCCTCTGGGCTGTAAAGGGCGTTCACATGCCACATTTGTTAGGGACACTTCCCCCAAGAGCTTCGTGTGGTGTGTGCCTTCTCGTTTAGCCCCCTGCTCAGATGTCACTCCCCTGATCACCCTGTCAGCTATACCAGCTCCTCAGTCAGCAACTTCTGGTCCTGTTGTTTTCTGTAGCACCTGCCATGACCCAAAATGATTGACTTCTTGCCGTTCTCCCTTACTTGAGTGGATGTTCCCTGAGGCCAGAGACTGCTGTATCACTAGCACCTAAAATAGTGCCTGGCATATAACAAGTGCTGTGAATGATTGAGTGAGTGGGTGGATCGCTGGAGCTTGGTCTGCACTTACATCCTGCAAAGGCTCTAAGTGAATGCCCTTAACAGAAATATAATGTGATCCACGTGTGATCTGTAATCTTCTGGATGTGGTAGTGTGGTAAAGGTGCTGGACTCCCAAAGAGCTGACTGCGATTTGAATCCTAGACCTGGTGGCTGGAAACACATCAGGTACGTGGTGTGTGCATGCCCAAAATCCCAGGAGGAGAAGATAGAAGGGATTGTGGTGTGGCCATACCCACTGGGGAGTGATTTCTCTGTCCCTGTCACTGTCTCTGTCACTTTCCAGGGAGCACACATACCCTATCCTGTCCCTGTCACTTTCCAGGGAGCACACATACCCTATGGCAAAAAAAAAAAAAATTCTAGACCCCCACATTAAAAACGTAAAAAAGAGGGGCCAGCAGGTAGCATGGTGGTTAAGACATGACTCCCACATGACTGACCATGGTTCATATCCCACATCCAGTGGCGTAAAACTCACCCTAGGCTCATGTACATGCTTACCTAAAATTCTGAAAGGAGAAAGGATTATGGTGTGGCCATCTTCCCAGGGGGTAATTTTTCAGTTTGCCTCTCTCTATTTCTCTGGTGAGTGTACACGCCCTATGGCAAGAACATTTTTAAAAAAGTAAAAATAAACAGGTGAAATGACCTTTAATAATACAGTTTATCTAACGTACTATATCCAAAATATTAGCATTTCAACAAATAAAATATTACGGAACCAGCAGGTAGAGTAATGCTTACATCTCTGGACTCCCACACAGCCTACTGCAGTTTGAATCCTGGTCTTGGAGGCCTGAAACTCATGCTGGACACACGTGTATGCGTGCCTAAAATCCCGAGAGGAGAATGGAAGAAAAAGGACTGTGGCATGGCCATCCCCCTGGAGGGTGATTTCTTGCTTTTCATTTCTCTGTCTCTGTCTTTCCAGTGAGCACACATGCCCTACAGTAAAAATCTCTTTAAAAGAAAGTAAATATTACTAGTTATTTTACATCCTTTTAAAAAAGCTAGGAATTCAAACTCTGGTGTGTGTGTGTATTTTTTCCTCCTCTGTAGGGCACATGCACTCACCAGATAGTGACAGAGACAGACAGAAAGTGAGAAATCACCCCTTAGGAGAGATGGCCACGTTCTTCCATTCTCCTCTTGGGGTTTGGGGCATGCACACCAAACACACCATGTCCAGGACTTGAACTGCGTGGTCAGCCATGTGGGATCCAGAGCCTTAACCACTGCACCATCTGGCTACCTCTTCTGCTCTAGTTTTTAGTTTGCCAAGGAAATGGACCTTAGGGTAGGAAGAAATAAAGAGAAGCACATAAACAGTCGAAGTTAGTCCAAGTCAGGCTTGGGCCTGTAGCTCCCCTCTAGCTGTCTTCATCCTGGCTCGCTCTTGGTTTCGCAGACACCCTAATGCAGACTTGTGTCAGGTCTCTGCCTCACTAATGGTGTGCGTTTCAGTAAAATCAACCCTCTGATCCCCGATTTCCTTTTCTTTTTTTTTTTTTTTTGGAGGGATTTTCACTGTAGGGCGCGTGAACAGACAGAGAGAGACATAGAGACAGAAAGCGAGAAATCACCCCCCAGGGGGGATGGTCACGCCGCAATCCCTTCTCCTCCATTCTCCTCTCGGGATCTTGGGCACGCAGCAACACGCACCCGGCGTGAGTTTTAAGCCACCGGGTCCAGGACGTGAACCGCGGTCGACTACGTGGGAGTCCAGCGACATAGCCATTACGCTAACTGCTGGTTCCCCCCGATTTCCTTTTCTGCAGAGGGGGACCAGTAATAGCTGCACAGGAGTTAAGTTCCAGTAAGATGATGATAATGCCTGTCTGTCCAGCACCTAGCAGTGCCCCCTGCCTGATAGCCACTCCGGAAGCACACGGGGTCTGGTCCTCCTGTTTCCCCTGCTGGTTACAAGGAGAGGCAGTGTCACTGGCCCTCCTAGCCCCACCCTGAGCTTTGCATGTTCTGCAGGGACCTGGTAGCTGCTGCAGCTCCGTGTTGCATTAGGTCATGCTGAACCATATGGGGCAGATGAGGGTGGTACCTAAAAGCCCACTGCAAAGATTCCTTCTGTTGTGCTTCCAGTGGCCAAGCGTGGACACCTCAGAGATGCCCTCGCCTCCTCCTGGGCTCACACCTGGGGATTCCACTCACACTGGCTCCTGGGCGGCTGCCCTGCCATTCTGTCTCTCACTCAGTATTGCAGATCTCTCTTCCACAGTGACTGTCAGAATTCTCTTTCTGAAATGACCCAACTGGTCACTTCCCTATGTACAAATGTATCTTCAAGATTGAGTCCAAATTCCTTAGCTTGTCATCCACCCAGCAGGTCTAACTCTATGCCTAAGCTTTTTTTTTTTTTTTTTTTTTTTTTTTTAAGAAAAAGAAACAAGCTTCTAGCCTAGTTGGCATCTAATTAATGGAGGCCACTTCTATGGATCCTCAAGTTTGTTTTACATTCATTGCCTCAGCAGATCGG